GGGGGGACGGGGGGGCGGGTCGTGCTCATACCTTCTAAGCGTGGAATCTTAGGGTCATGTTTCGTCTTCTGTAGACCTCCCTCAACCACTCACCCAGGCCACCACTAAGTCAAACCACTTCCTACAGTGTTTTTTCATGCCAGCATCAAACCTAAATAATCAATTGAACCTCTTCTGATTTCTCTAATTTCTTTCTGTCTCAACTCTCTCCTTGAGTTGAAAAGGGGATGTGAACCCATCCATCTTCATCAACTCATGGTACACCAAGTCCTCATGATCCTCCAAGGGCCCCCTCCAGTTTCCTCTTCGAGGCCACTTAGCAATGGGTGTGTATTTAGGCAAGCCTCTTTATGCCTCCGAGCATAAAGTGTCAGTTTCCCCAACCAAAAAATGGGGATGATCCTTCATACTTTGTAAGGTTACAAGATTAATGGTGATGCCTAGGATGTGCCCGGCACCAAGCAGGCATCTGACAAGTAGTAGCAATTATTATTATGCCATGCCGCCTGCATTAATGACCCTTTGTCAGAACCACATTCTTTCTAGCCTGCAGTAGAGACTTCCTGGTAACTCCTTTTCTCCACAAAGCCTTTCTCGGTTACAGAGAGGATGTGTGGCTCCTGACACACCTGGAAGCCCGCTCCTTGCAGTCCATGCAAAGAGTGAGACACACATGAGACCATGCAGTCCAAAGGACTGGAACAAATGATTCACAGAAGAGGACGCACAAGTAGAAGAGTTCTGCTCATTAGTAACCCAAGATATGCAAATAAAACACTGAGATATCAAATCAGCAAAAAAAAAAGTATAATATGCCATGCTGGAGAAGCTGCAGTGAGACGAGCACTGCTGGAAGCTCTGGAAAACAGTTGGCAAAATGTCTCAAGTGCTTTACACTTTTCATACATCTCTGACCCAGTCATTTCACTTCTAGGAAGTAGGAATCTAGGAATATTTTTTTCTCAGAAAATCAAAAATGCCTGCCTTTCTCTGATCACCTCTTCAGAGAGGGCTTCCCAGAACCTGGGTCTGTCCAATTCCTTTCTTATTTTTCTTAAATGGATCTATTTACTGCCTACCAGAATGCAAGCTCTACCAACAAAGGGACTTGGTCTTGTTCCTCACTGCATCCTCGGGGTCTGCAGCTCCGCCTGGCACATTGACAATGCCCAGTAAATGTTTGTTGACCAAATGAATGTGATGTAAACCCAAAAGACGTTTGCTGCACTGTCATTTACAGAGTTGAAATATAAAAATAGGAAAATTGTATAGTATTAACTATGGTACATCCATGCAGTGTGACAGCATGTTATTAAAAAGGTTATCAGCAGGGGGCCAGCCGGGTGGCGCAAGCTGTGAAGTGCATGCGCTCCGCCGCGGTGGCCCAGGGTTCGCCGGTTCAGATCCCGGGCGCGCACCGACGCACCACGTGTCAGGCCATGCTGTGGCGGCGTCCCATATAAAGTGGAGGAAGATGGGCACAGAGGTTAGCCCAGGGCCAGTCTTCCTCAGCAAAAAAAGAGGAGGATTGGCAGATGTTAGCACAGGGCTGATCTTCCTCACAAAAAAAAAAAGGTTACCAGCAAAACATGAATAGATAAATAAAAAGCATTTTTGTCTCATGCACAGCACAGTCTCAATAAAGATCTAGAAATGTTCCATGGGGTTCAGACTGGGTAGTAGAATTGTGGGTGATTTTTATTTTCTTCTATTGGAAATTTCCAAATTCTTTTAAAAGATGTAGCCCGACCCTCAAACCCACAAAGGTAAGATAGTTCAAGGACACCTGTATTGTTACTGTTACTCATGTTGATGACACTAGGGGTTAAAAGAAGCTGATTCTGGGCCGGCCCCGTGGCTTAGCGGTTAAGTGCGCGCGCTCCACTGCTGGCGGCCCAGGTTCGGATCCCGGACACACACCGACACACCGCTTCTCCGGCCATGCTGAGGCCGCGTCCCACATACAGCAACTAGAAGGACGTGCAGCTATGACATACAACTATCTACTGGGGCTTTGGGGGGAAAATAAATAAATAAATAAAATAAAATAAAAAAAGTTCTTTAAAAGAAGCTGATTCTGTGAGTTCCATCATGAGGGGCTTTCATGAATTTCTCTAGCCCAAGGAACTTTCTTGACTTTCCCCATGCAACCACACAGCATGACACACACTTCTGTGATCAAAGGGAACTGGCTCCAGCAGTCACCGCTTCGGTGAAGGCACAGACCAGGTCTTTCATTTCGGCTTAAGCACCCAGCACAGGGCCTGTTACACAATAGGCCGCTAAGTGACTTGCCCAAGATCCCAGGTCAGTTTGAATCCAGAGCTTTGGGCTGGTGCTTGCTGCGTCCCCTTCGGCTGGTTTCTAGGGGCAGGGCTGCTTCTCTTGTCCCGCCTCCTGGAGTTGCCATGCCGTCACAGGTTGGACTCCTCCCTCAGGCTCAATGAAAAGCCTTCTTATACTGACAATCAAAGGTAGGGCAAAGCCTGCAGCTCAAGGCCTGCTCGATGGGGCTCCTTCCTGGGCTGTGCTCAGAGGAGATACAAGGCTGGGGCCCAGGCAGGGGAGTAGGGCAGAGCCGGGTGGTTGCGGAGGAAAGACCAAGGCTGACCTGGGAGAACTCTGACCTCAGCTCAAGGCCGCCATGTGTGTGAACCAGTTTGGGTTCGAAACAGCACAAAGGTTAAAAAGAAGACACAGGGCCCACCCAGTGTGTTTCTGACTATAGGTAGATTGTCTACCTCTCTGACTCTCCTAACACAGCGATCCTCAGCCACGGTGTCTTGGGGAAAGAAACTAACAATCTTGGAACATTCAATTTCAGTCAGGTACTAGGCTGGGTACTTTACACAGCATAGAGGTTCAGAACCAAACTCCAGCTCTGCCCCAGATGCACTGTGACCTGGGGCAAGTCACTTGACTGCTCTGTGCCTCAGTTTCCCTTACGTCAAATGGAGTTTATATTAGTTTATAACCTATTGGGTCACCAGGCAGCTTCAATGAGTTAATTTCTATAAAGCACTTAGAACAGAATCTGTTCCATGAGTTGGTTCACGTCACTCCCCTGAGCAGCCCTGTGAGGGGTTAGTGCCATTCCCATTTCATAGATGAGCAAACGGAAGCACCCAGAGGGGTAAAGCCGCTTGGCCCAAGGCCACAGGCTTGATTTGAGAGTTTCTCTGGCTCCAGAGTCTGTGCTTGCCTCTCAATTACTAGTGAGCTGGAACACTCCTGGAAGGACTGAGTCACGCATTAGTAACATCAAAAGTGAGATATTCTGATTAAAGGGCCAGTGCTAGGCAAATGGAAAAGATGCTTTAACATTCTGATGGCAGAAGTCAGTGTCCCATTTACTGAATCCAAGGAGCAAGTGAGGGTTCCACAATCTCCATCTTGAAGCACCTCCCACCCTAGATGTTTGTACAAAAGCATTCGAACCTCTAGGCCTCCTATCTTCAACGTTCATGGGCCATTCATAGCAGTCAGCTCTTCAAATTCACTCTGACTTAGACCAGCTCATTTCTGTGGAACTCTGTTGCTTATGTGATTCCTGTTATCATCCTCCCAGAATCTCAAGGTCATCTCCAACAGCCCGCAAGTCCAGCCAGCACCAGGACCTACTGATTATACCTGGGAGCATCTCAGTTTGCCATCTCTGGTCCCTGGGGCCACTCCCCAGGCTGGGCCTCAGCACCTCTTGCCTAGACCAATGCAGCAGCCTGTTTAACTGGTTTGGGCCCCAGTGTCTCTCCACAGGTTAACTTTCCTAAGGCACAGCTGTGATGGTGTGGACTCCACATCTTCTATTGCCCAGTTTTCCCCAAATGATCCCTCTGCTCAGGTCACACTGGCCTAAAATCAGGACCCTGAATCCTCTCCAGAGTCCCACCTCTGCTCTTGCCCAGGCAGCTCCCCCATTAGGAGACCCTCCCCCCATCTCTCTCTACCCCTTTAGGCTCAAGCCAAGTCCTCCCTCCCCCTGAGTTCTCCAGGATTCTCAGGTCTTGCCCTTCACGCTCCTGGCATGAGCTATCCGTGTGACTCATCTAGCACTCCACCACACTGTGACATCTTTTAATTGATTTCTGACAACAACTACCATTTAATGAGCACCAAAGAGGTGCCAGGTGCTGTGCTAGTGCTCGGCACATTTTATCTCCTTCAATCTTGATGCAAGAATGGGCTCATGACCATCCCTGTTTATAAACAGGAAAACCTGGAGCTCAAAGAGATGAAGCAACTGGTTCAAAGTCACCTGGTAGGTGAGTGACAGAGCCAGTTTTTAAACACAGCTTTACCTGTCAGTGATGTTGGGGCCCTTATTCCCCAACATCCTTGGCCATGACATAAATATATCTTCCTGGAACACTGATTTTTCTCATGTGATTGGGGAAAAGGAATATTAAATAATGTGACTGGTAGATGATTTACATTTGAGATGTGATATTTATATGGAGCAAACTACTTCTCAACTTGGGCACTACTGACATTTGGGGCCAGGTATTGCTTGGCTCTTGGGGGGAGCTGGCCTGTGCTTTGTAGGATGTTTAGCAACATCCCTGGACTCTGCTCACTAGATATCAGGAGCACCCCTCACCCTTAGTTTCAACAACCAAAAATGTCTCCAGACATTGCCAAATGTCCCTTGGGGGCTGAGAACTACTGGTCTAGAGGTTAAAAGACCAGCCTTTAGATCCCAACTGTCTGTCCAGTCTCAGCTCTGCCATTTACTGTGTGACTTTGGGCCGGTTCCTTTGCCTCCCTGTGTCCCCATATGTAAAATGAGGATAACCGTATCTGGGAAGGA